TAACAGAAATTTCATTGAAGTTCTTGTCATCAATGAAGCTTTCCAAGTAGCAGCGATGATTGAGAAAACCTTCGTGGAAAGATTTCAAAAACTACTTGAAACACAAATGCAAGGAGATGTCCCTTGAAGATCTCATTATTCAGCTGAGAATCGAAGAGGACAACAAAGCTGCTGAAAAAAGAGGCCGTGGAAACTCAACAATAATGTGAGCAAATATTGTTGAAGAGAACAAAAAGAGGAAGAAGGCTTCCGGACCGAAATACAACCCAAGCAAGAAGCGGTTCAGTGTAAATTACTACAACTATGAAAAAGCCGGACACAAATCTACGGAGTGTCGTGCTCCGAAGAAAGACAAGAAGAAGGGTCAAGCAAACATGGTTGAAAAGCATGATGATGTTGATGACTTATGTGTCATACTTTCCGAATGCAACTTGGTAGGCAATCCTAAAGAGTGGTGGATTGATTCTGGAGCCACTCACTATGTTTGTGCTATTAGAGAAGCTTTTGCTACTTATGCTCCTGTTGGACCCGATGAGACGATTTCTATGGGAAATGTTGGAAAGGCCAAGATTGAAGGATGTGGGAAGATATTTCTCAAAATGACTTCCGGCAAAGTGGTGACTTTGAACAACGTCCTTCATGTTCCCGAGATTAGGAAAAAATTAGTCTCTGCTGGATTTCTTGTTAAAAATGGTTTTAAATGTGTTTTTGTTTCCGATAAGGTTGTAATAAATAAGAACGAAATATTTGTAGGAAAAGATTACCTCACTGAGGGCCTTTTCAAGCTAAATGTAATGGTTGTTTAAAATAATAATAAAATTTCAGCTTCGTCTTACTTACTTGAGTCAAATGGATTATAGCATTATACGTTTGAGTCATGTTAATTATAAAACCTTGCGAAAAATGATTAATTTAGTAGGATTGCCTAAATTTGAATGCGACAAATCAAAATGTCAAATATGTGTGGAATCTAAGTAAGTTAAACATCCTTATAAGTCAATTGAAAAAAAATTCAAATCCTTTAGACTTAATTCACACAGATATTTGCGATATGCAGTCAATACCATCTCGCGGTGGAAAGAAGTATTTCATAACTTTTATTGACGATAGTACTCGATATTGCTATGTTTACTTACTTAATAGTAAAGATGAAGCAATAGACGCATTCAAGCAATACAAAAATGAAGTTGAAACGCAACTTAACAAGAAAATCAAAATGATAAGAAGTGATAGGGGTGGTGAATATGAATCTCCTTTTGAACAAATATGTTTAGAATATGGAATTATTCATCAAACAATGGCCCTTTACACACCCCAATCCAATGAGATTGCAGAAAGAAAGAATCGTTCATTAAAGGAGGTGATGAACGCATTATTGATAAGTTCTGGTTTGCCACAGAACTTGTAGGGGGAAGCCGTTCTTACGGCTAGCCGAATACTAAATCGAGTACCCCATAGCAAAACACGATCCATTCCATATGAAAAATAAAAAGGAAGGAAGCCCAACTTGAATTATTTTAAAGTGTGGGGGTGTTTGGCAAAAGTGTAAGTTCCTAAACCCAAAAGGGTAAAAATAGGACCGAAAACCGTTGATTGTGTTTTTATAGGATATGCAACTAATAGTAAAGCATATCGATTTCTGGTTCATAAATCAGAAAATCTCAATATTCATAATAATAGATGATGCTGAGTTCTTTGAAAATATATATCCGTATAAAAAAGAATGTGAGTCGATTGGTGAAAGATCTAAATGACCTCGGGAAGAAACAAAAGAAAGTACACTTAACCAGGAGGATCCAAGACGTAGTAAACGTCAAAGAATGTCTACTTCATTTGGACCAGATTTTGTGACTTTCTTATTGGAAAAATGAGCCTCAAATATTTAAAGAAGCTATGTCTTCTTCGGAATCATTGTTTTGGAAAGAGGCAGTCAATAGTGAAATAGAATCCATACTGAACAACCATACATGGGAATTAGTTGATCTTTCTCCTGGAAATAAACCGTTGGGTTCTAAATGGATCTTTAAGAGGAAAATGAAAGATGATGACACTATTGACAAATTTAAGGCAAGACTTATGGTAAAAAGGGTATAGACAACAAGAAGGTCTTGACTATTTCGATACATACTCTCCAGTTACAAGAATTACGTCCATACGAACATTAGTAGCGTTAGCTGCAGTTTATGATCTTGAAATTCATCAAATGAATATTAAGACAGCTTTCTTAAATGGAGAGTTGGAGGAAGAAATTTACATGGAACAACCTGAAGGGTTTGTGGTTCCAGGTAAAGAAAAAAAGGTATGTAGACTTATTAAGTCCCTTTACGGATTAAAACAAGCACCCAAACAATGGCATGCAAAATTTGACCAAACAATGTTGTCAAACGGGTTTAAGATAAATGAATGTGATAAATGTGTGTATATTAAAAATGTTCCAAATCACATAGTCATTGTTTGCTTATATGTGGATGATATGCTCATAATGAGTAATGACATTGCCAACATAAATGCTACTAAGCGTATGCTAACTAGCAAGTTTGATATGAAAGACTTGGGAGCTGCTGATTTAATTCTGGGGATTAAGAACCATAAGACTCCTCAAGGTCTGGTATTGTCACAATTCATTATATTAAGACAATACTTGAAAAATTCAAGCACTTGGGCTTTAAAGTTGCAAAGACTCCAATTGACGTGAATCTTGCATTAGCAAAGAACAAAGGTCAAAGCATATCACAATTGGATTATGCTCGTGTGTTGGGTTGCTTAATGTACATCATGAATTGTATACGACCAGATATAGCTTGTGCTATAAGTAAATTGAGTCGATATACAAGCAATCCAGGTCAATCTCATTGGATGACCATGAAACGAGTTTTGAGGTATTTAGTACATACCTAGGACTTTGCTTTGCACTACAGTAAATATCCTGCGGTCATTGAGGGATACTGTGATGCAAATTGGATCACCGGATCAACTGATTTCAAGTCCACGAGTGGATATGTATTCACTACTGGTGGAGGAGTGGTATCTTAGAAGTCGTCCAAACAAACTTGTATTGCCCGCTCTACGATGGAGGCTGAATTCATAGCCTTAGATAAAGCTGGTGAAGAAGCTGAATGGCTCCAGAATTTCTTGGAAGATATTCCATATTGGCCCAAACCGTTGGCGCCAATATGCATACATTGCGATAGTCAAGCGGCAATTGGAAGGGCTGGGAGCTTATGTATAACGGTAAATCTCGTCATATACGACGAAGACATAAAACTATTAGGCAATTATTCTCTAGAGGAATTATCGCAATTGATTATGTAAAGTCAAGTGATAGTGTGTCAGATCCACTTACAAAAGGCCTAACTAGAGAGGCAGTTGAGAAGTCATCAAGTGGAATGAGACTTTGGCCAAAAACAAGTCATAGCGGCGGTAACTCTACTTAGAAGACTGAAGATCCCAAGATCTAGGTTCAAGGAGATCAAACAAAGTCATTAATGACGGTTCAACATTGTCAACTAAACTTTTGGTCCATTCTCGTGATGAGACAATGTTCAGTACTAAGGATAAAACATTAAGACTTTTTAATGGTTTCTAAATTTGATACGGGGTATATCAAATAGTGTATCTATGGGATGACACGTTTAGGAATCACCTATGTAAGTGTGAAGTGTTAGCCGCTTCAATGAGAATCTTGCAAGGCCAGTTCTCTATGCACTTATGAAACTAGGCGGTGTTCATGGCTAAAATGAACACAACAATGAGAACCAAAGACGGTTAAAGATTGGTTGTGTGACTTGTGGTTGTCTAGGTATACACCAAAGTTCGACGGTTCAAAGATATCAAATCTACCGATTGATCGAGTATATCCGACATAAGTTCACTAAGGAAAGTTCAAAGGGAAACCTACTTATCTAGATGCAATTAATCCTTGCTTGCGAATCGCATAGTTTTTCATGCATGTTTCCGTGATATAGTCATTCCCTATTCATGTGAGGGATTGTTGGGGTTTTATGTATTTAAGTATATTAAATACTTAAAAGAGGGTGAATAGGAAATGGGGGGAAATGAAATTTTTGAGTGAAATTTTAAGTTTCCCCTCTTGGCAAAGGGATATTGTCCCATATTGGAAGAGGAAGAAGTTTTTTATGGGTATATAAGCAATTGCTTTTCTTCTAGCTCTTAAAGAGTTGAGAAGAAGGCAAGCCTTGCGCCGTCGTCGCCGCTTGGCTTCGGCTTCGGCTTCGGATTTGGTCAAATGATTGATTGATTAATTTTTTGGACCAAATTTATTTGTTAATAGTAAAATATTAACAAAAATATTATTAAATATTTATTTTAATAGCAGAATATTAATATTAAAATAAATATTAATATCCTCCAATCCGTTTTCAGTTGTGTAACTGAAAATTAAACTACTCTCTTCAATTTTTCCTCTTTATTGTTTAGTAAATAACCATTTATGTTATGACATTTATGATGTAGCCGTTTTGCATAAACAACTATTTTGAAGAACTGTACCTCTTCAGATTTCAGCCCAACTTTGGCTATAAATACAAGTCTATTCTGCTCAGAATTTCCATACGATTTTCTGAGTTTCTCCTCCTCCCTCTGCATACTTTTAACATCAAATAAAGCAACAGTAAGTGTGATTTGCTATCGAACTTTGTGTTCGCTGAAACACTGGGGTTTGAAGTACCACTAAACCAGTGTGTAATTCGTTCTATCCTGAGAGGAAATAATCCATAACCTTGGGTACTAGGAGGGGATTAAATTCCTTAAGGAAACACCGTGAATTCAGTGACTCGAATTAATTTTTGTTTCTTTACATTTTCTGTTTATATATTATTTTGCTTTGTTTTTTCAGAATTAGTTTACAAATACAGATCGATAACACATTTATCTAAAATCTCTAAAATTTTAACTATCCTGGCTATTTCCCAGAACCTACTCAATTGCAAGAACTCAAAAATTCTAATAAATCTTGGCTGCCTGCCAGATATGAATAAAGATTCATTGTATTAGAATAATATTAGTAAAAAATAACCATGAACAATTGAATATGGTGGATGATTGATTCTATAATCTACTCCAACTCAACAATTCTTTGTTCTCTCCCTCACCTCCATCACCAAAACCATGTACTATTATTATTCACCAAAATCCTAATTATTTTTTTTCTCTTAAACAACTGTGTCACCTTCACCATGTTTCCCCTTCTTCATCTCTTCCTCTTTCTCCACTTATCATTCCCTAGTTATGTATCATCTCAACAACCTAGTACAAACTCCTCCCCTGCTTCAACCCCATGTCCTCTCGATTTTAACGCACTTCGTAATTTGATAAACCAAAGTTCAAAACGGCCAAATCTGAACTCCACCACACAGTGTCAATACATTCGTCAGGGTTTACGTCTTGTCCAATCTGAATATCTCCGCCGTAAAAACTCTTTCTTTCCGCCACTCACATCCGCCGAATCTTGCTGGAATAGTTACCAGTCTTTGGTCAACGACTATGTACCCAACTTCGATATCCGCAAATCTTGTGGGTTTCAAACTTCTTGGATTTCTCAGGGTTGTATGAATATAACAACCCGTTTCGAGTTCGAGTCTAATGTCTCTTCTTCTGCACTTTCCAACATGGTTTCTTCGTGTAATCAGTCTTTAGAGAACAACTCCCCTTGTGCCACGTGTACCACCAGCTTCTCTGGCCTTGCTTCTTACCTCAATGGACCTTCTGTTGGGAATGTTTCGGATTGTACGGCTTACCCTTCTATTTATGCTGCAGCTTTTGCTAATCAGTTTGGGCCCACTGATGAAGGTACTATAAAGTGCTTGTTTGCTATTGATGTTACTGCTACTGCTAGTTCAGGAAAAGGTAAGAAAAATGTGACTATTATTGTTGTGGTTCTAGTTTGTGGATTGGTATTAGTGTTTGTTGGGTTTGTTTATTGGATTCTGTGGCGGCGGAGGAAACATAGATTGGCTCATAAGTGGAACAATAGGAGGATTGAGAGTAATTTGAGTTCTCGTTTGGATTCAATTAGTGGTAGTACTACTTTGATTAGGTTTACTATAGATGAAATTAAGTTGGCGACCAAGAATTTTGCTAGGGCGAATATAGTTGGGACAGGAGGGTATGGGAATGTGTATAAGGGTGTTTTGCCTGGTGGAATTGAAGTAGCTTTGAAGAGGTTCAAGAATTGTTCAGTTGCTGGGGATGCAAGTTTCACACATGAAGTTGAGGTTATTGCTAGTGTTAGGCATGTTAATTTGGTAGCTTTGAGAGGATATTGCACTGCTACAACTCCTTATGAGGGTCACCAGAGGATTATTGTTTGTGATCTGATGAAGAATGGGAGTCTACATGATCACTTATTCGGGACGCGATATGAGAAATTGAGTTGGGGTATTAGGCAGAAAGTTGCACTTGGTACTGCTAGAGGTTTGGCTTACTTGCATTATGGAGCACAACCGGGTATTATTCATAGGGATATTAA